TTTCGCACTTGGTTAAGAAGTTTACTTAATTATCAGGTAAGAGATAAAAGTTGGACACGACAGAAGGCGCGCGTGACCACCGTTCATGATCACCGAAAAGCAAAGGTAAACTGCTCCCAGAGCATCGCGTTGTGTCTCCACTAGCTAAGTGATACCCTAGTCACAAGACTGCATGTCTTAAACAGAAACTTCTTAAAGTTAAGCCGACTGTGAAACCAAGCGCGCCTCTTCAGAACCAAAATGCGTCAGCAGGTTTTTATCTCCAGAAGGGCAACGCATTGCCACGTAACTCACCAAAAGCCGTTTTCAACCTTCCAGAGTGTTGCTTTATTGGGTATGACAGGTGGTAAGGACCATGCTAAAGCGCATTCACAGCTCTTAAAGCACGAAGACGTGCACAGTATTTGGCTTAGGAGAGGGAAAATTCTTGTAGGGCCTTTGCCCCCACTTCTTTTGAGTCAAAGCCAGCGGGGAGAAGTGCACTTCTTCCGTCTAGTGTGTTCCACCGATACCACAGTGGTTGTAGACTTAGATGCGTGCCAACTTTTGTGGTTTCAAATTTTGTTCGATCCGTTTGCGCACTTTTCGCGTGCAGCGAACACCTTTGTTGTACGTGCTCTGGACCTCTGATCCAGAAGAGATTATCGACCTGGTGTTTTAACTTCCAAGCTGCTGGAGTACTGGAGTGTTGGCAGCCCTTATTTGAGCCAGCTAAAGTGGAAATCGGATTAGCACAACTTTGTTTTTTCGTGACTGAGCTCGTCTAGATGACGTGGCTCCACCGGCTACCTCAGGAAAGCATTCGGAGTCTTTGATCCCTTTTGCATGACTTAAATATAGAATGAAGGAAACATTCTGCGTGCCGTTAGGGAGGCCGAACCCAATGGGCCCTCAAAGGGCATCCCCGAGCACTTTGTGACGACTCCACATACATTCACTGCAAGCCTTGAACCTTAAGCCCTCGGATCAGCGCCCAGGAGTATGCAGATTTTGGGTTCTTCCGGAAAGCAGTGTACCTTGTGGAGGTTCATGTGGTGGGCCCAATAGGATATTGTGGGGTCCTCAGGCCATCTCGGGCTCCAAGAGAACCTCAAGGCCATTCTGGAGGATCAGTTGCCAGCAAAGCCAGTGGAAGTGAGAGGAAATTTAAGCAGATCTATAGCTTTTGACGTTGCACGAAAGCAGCACCACACTGGCCAACTGGGAAGCTGTGGATGCTGCCTGCATGCATGGCTGCATCGTCATCTCTATCCCCCAGCCATTAGAACATTCCAGCTCGTGGACTTATGATTCCGTTTTGTAGCTCAGTGCTTTATGCACGCGCCTTGGGGAGTAACAGTTGCCCACGTTGCAGAAGAATGTTGCAGGGCCTCTCTGCCCTCGGGTTAACTTCCTGCAGTTAGTCAGAGTCCAGTGCCCCCATAGCACTGGACAATGAGCCCTGAATTTTGAGTGCTTAGCGACAATACGATGCTGATTACAGGCTAGCTGTCATGATTTGATGGCTCAGAGTTCAGAAATTTGTGTTTAGCAGGACAAGACCAGCTTGTCCTGCGCGATTACGCAATGTTTCAAGGGATCTGTGAGTGAAAGGCTGGCTTTGACTTCACCATTTTGCATCGAAGACTATTCGTGCATATTTTTATAACTTCCATAACTAGGGCGTACTGGGGCTTCCCTTACCCTGTCTGTTGCTTTGTCGCATACATCCTCTGAAGGCTGTAGCTTGAGCTGGCTTGACAGTGATACAGATCCAATGTTCTGTCTTTAAATTGTTTCACATGAAGATAAATTAGGGAAAATTCCTGTTGCTTTAAGAGTCCAACTGAAGGTTTGCTGCTCTTGACCAGCGGTTCTTGAGGATGCAGTTACAGCGCCTCAGAACAGCAGCCCGTCTCCGGCGCATCGACTGCTCCCAACGATACGCTGAGCCTTCAGCCGACAAGATCCTCGGTCTTCGTCAACATGACGCTTGCTAAAAGCCGCCCCTAACATTGCTTTTCATGCTAAAAAGGTAATGACTCACAAAGAAGTCGGGTTCACGAGCGGAACGCTCGTTATGAGCCTGGCATTGTCCACACTCGCCACGAAAAACGAAGTTACCTCTACTCCGTGGCAACCTGCCCGCTCATTCACTTGCGCTTAAATTTCCATGAGTGCAATTTTGGTAAATACGTGAATCTACATTTAACGTTTTTGTTCCTCCTCCCCCGCCTTGCCGCCAAAAAAATCTGCGGGTGCAATTATGTTCACATCCAAAGACAGCCCGATAAAAACTGCCCAATACTGATACTGACAACCCACTGAGGGAACTTTCGCTACATGCGAATAGTCGAAGAATATTTTACATGCAAAAAACTGGGAAGGATCGCCAGATCGAGAGATGGACCCGGATCTGCAGCGGACGGCAATAACCAGTGATCCTTCAGCACCTCCTGCTGTCGGGAAACATTTCGCCGAAAATCTCCCAGCTTTACAGCCGAGCAGAGAATGTTCAAAAAGACGCCAACCATATAAGCAGCGCCTGAAACCCTCCAGGAGATCTATCCACTTCTCCTGGGCTGTTCTCTTAACGGTGTCGACTGTTGTTGCGATCGTACTGAGCTGTTCTCGTCCCATTTATAGGCTCAGAGAACGTGAAAAGGTGTCACGAAGACTCTCAGAATATCTACAGGGTATGGATGAAGCCTCTTTGCAGTCACTCATCGTCGACATGTGCCTTGAACTGTCAGAGGAAACTGGGCTGGCCCTTGGGATTCCCACAACCATAGACGCGACAAGATCGCTACTTCTTGGAGCCACAGAGGAACATGTGCTATCGCAGTCGCAGAGAGGAAACTGGGGAAATTCTTCGCATTTCATACAGAACACTTCAAGCCCTCCTCAGTTTTACGATGCCCCTGTGCCTCATCCAGGGGCTATAATGGGTGGAATGGTGGGGCAAATGCTGTGGGACAATGCTGTAAAAGAGGCTCTCAGCATTTTAAATGATGATGAGGGGCCGCCAGCAGAGGTAGGCGATCCAAGCATGTCAAACGGCAACGCTTTCGAAATGAGGGTCATGCAGAATGGAAGCACACAAAATACGTCTTCACGACTTTCCTGTTTACCACATTCAGTGCATTCAAGTCGTGTGACGGTAAGAGATTTAGTATGGCCCAGTCATGCAGCATATGGAGGCACGCTGCCGGCGCCGCAGAACACGCCATGTCCAACGGGAGAAAGCACCCAGAGACCTGAGGAAGACGACCGTCCACGTAAAGCACGAATATGGAAGTCAAGAATACTTAGGCTAGCAAGGCAAGAAACAGATCCCGTCGACGGTACCGACGAATATGTCGAGATGAGCTTTCCGTTGAACGTACATCTCTTGCAACCGCAGAGTCTTCCTCGAACGGTGCGATGGAACCACACCGATGCTGAGAGGGCCCCACAACAGATTCTGGAAGGCCTTGTTGCACCGTCTCCTGTATCAGCCGCTTTGTGCTTAGAAGAGGAACCGGCCGCATCAGCTGCAGGGTATTCGGTGTGCAAACAAGATGAAGCGCCGTCATGCATGGTGGAGTCCAGACGTAAAGCTCCACTCTGGCGGAAACTGCAAGATGAGGACAAAAGTACTATTACACTGACATTGCCTTCAGGCGCCATACAAATTACGCCTTCAGATCATCCTTATTATCGCTTGCCTGTGGTGGAAACAGGCGTCCAAGTACGCAAACTTGACAGTGAGTTCTGCCTTCAGAACTTAGACCAAAAATTTGTCCTGGCGGTCGAGCAGCTGGCGCACATACGCACGTACCTTGTTAGAGATAGAATTTATCACAATGAGAAAGTGAACATCACACTTGCAGTAGAAAGGCTGATTGTCTTACTGCTCCAGAAGCACCAGAACGGGGTGGCGCAATCCCACCCATGCCATGCAGCCCGCGTCCTAGGAATCCGGTATTTGATTTTCGACGCTATAGTCGCTACACTGCAACTCTTCGGTCCTGTAATGGAGGCGGAGCGCTGGTGGAACGTGATTACGACACTGGTGCCGACGAGAGTGGCTTTCGCTTCGAGCGCGGAAAGGCAACCACGCAGCGAACAGTATGTTCAACTCGCGACGCGTTTGAGTGAAGCACTTGCTTTGTTGAAGAAGGGCGTAAGGCCCTCGCCTGCACACACTATTGCCCTAAAAATGGCACTGTTCTGCCATCCAGATGGACCCCCATACTTTCAGGGTCCAGCGTGGGACGAATGGCGGGAGGACCACGAAACGTACATACAGCACAAAAGTTAATATTGATGGCGTGCCTTGACATCCTCCTCAATGTTATTAATCATCTAAAGCATGCAAACAGGGTCTTCATTATTTCAGGAGGGTCAAGCGCAGCGATCTTAAGGTGTGGAGCCAATGCAATTATTCTCAAGCGCCTCCTCTTTTTTTGGACAATTTCCGTACGCCTGCTTTACGGCTTACTCGTGCTTTGTGGGCTACATTGTGTACAATTCTTCCTGGGTCGAGGCTTGCTGTTGCAGTGTGGCTATTGCAATACTACAGTCCCAAGTGCCACCCGGCTCACGCATGGGATGCGCGAAACTATTGTTTAGAAGCCCTTTGGGGACATTCGACTCTTTGAAATCTTTCAAACAATTTGCCGACTGAGTGCTTGTGACAAGAATAGGCTCTACAGATTCGCCAGCCTGTCTCTGCACCGACTAACTCTGATTGACATTAACGAAGTGAAGACTCCTAAGTAACGACTCACAGGGCCACTAGCCCCTGATATGACCACTACGCTGGTGAAAAGTCCACGGCCAAAACAGTCCACCAAGGCGACCGCAATCACTGGGTCACACTAGGAATTCGTGCGACCACGAATGAACAAGCCGCATTTTGAATGAGTCAGGCTGGAAGACAAGTGCTAGCTTTTGCACCTAGCTACGAAACTTCAAGAGACACCGCTGCAGGGACGAAATGCATCATGGATGCAGAGCCGGCTGTTCCAGCGGCCCCCTCAATTCACCTGCGGTCCGTCGCGTCCAGGGGCTACGAGGGCCCCAACAGCGCCTAAGTAGCCGTCGTGACGTAAAAACAGAACCTGCACCATACCGAAGAGACATAACAACGCAAGAGCATTGAATCTACAAGTTTCAAATACATTCTTACAAAGAAGGCATAAATTTTTCGAACAGCTGCTGAGCCTGATGCCAATGTCTGCTGGTCTGTCCCAACCACCACGGCGAATAAGCTGCGGGAAACAACAGCTGCTTTCCCCCCAGATAATTACTTCAGCAATTACCTCAAAAGGGGCCCATGCGGCAACTGGAGCACCGCTGTCACCATCCGGCGGCTGTACAGGTGGCGGGCCTAGCAGATTAGTACTGCTAGGGGAGCGTAAAGGGTTGTTGCTGAAGCTGGCCCGTTGTTCGTGCACGCTTTGTATGGGATTTTGCTGTTCGTGGACGAGTGCGTTGTTGTGTGGCCTTGACGGCATCGAAACTGGGCTAACATCTTCATTGGGTGCAGCAATGCATACGCCAGACGAAACAACTCCGGTTGCCGCCCTTTGCGGCGATAGTACAGTAGCATCGACCGCTACTTCTGGTGCTGATTCTGCATCCAAGCGGCCAACCAGAGGACGGAATGTGCCGTCCGTGTGGCCTGAACCGCTTAGTTGTTCTACAACAATGTTGACGTTTGCACGCATATCGTAACTTTGCTGCTGCTGCCGCTGTATCAGCAGCTGCTGCTGCAGGAGAATCCGCTGCTGTGCGTTCACATTGAAATTTGGTGGGGCTGCGAGCAGTGGTGAAGCCGGGCCTCGCAGGCAGCTTTGGGGTGTGTGTTGGTCATACTGCTGCATGTAAAAATTCACTCCTTGAGTAATGGATTCCATGGTGAAGTCATAGTTATTGATAAATTTCCCCGCAAAAAATATCCTGAACACCAGAAACGCAAAAGCCTAAACAAGCATTTAAGCGATAGCGCGATAGCTGATGAAAAGCGTGCGAAAAAGAGCCTATAAGCCACAGCAATAAATCTATCATCAGATAGTGCCAAGCACAACTTGAAATAGGAAGCTGGCATCAGGGAGCCTCTTAGTGAGTGCGACATCTCTTTTGCGCGCTGCGTAGTTGCAGTCCGGAAGTGGGGCAGCCATGAAATAAGAATTCGCAAGTTGCAAACGTGTTAGTTGCGGGGCTTTCGGCTAATAGATTTAAGTTCAAGAGAAGCCAAGCACGTAGCTACTAGTCACCTGCGGACGCCATGAGCTGTACCAACTAGGTAGGCGAGGTAGCCCAAGTTGTATGAGACCATATGAATGAGGCTCCTCGCTATATCCTCCTTCCTAGAAATCATCAAAAGGGTTGATGAGCTTAAAAGAACAAGTTTAGGTGGTGACGGGATGCATCCCCTCTTGCAACTAGAAGGATCGTGGCGAAAAGCCACAAATACGCACTTATGGATGATCCCAGGTATCCGCACACAGCCCAACGCAATTCAACTAACTAGAGGAAAGACTAGCTTTCGTCTTGCCAGGCCAGCTTCTTCACTGGCAAGATCACACAGGAAGGTCGCACAGCGGACGTGAAGGGTGTCGACGCAGCTAGCGGCTTTAAGTCATTCGCTTTCTCACCTGGGACTCGGCCGGTCGTGGCTATCTTCTAAATAGAGACGCCCGAAGCTGCATACATAAAAAGTACGTACGACTTTTCCATGTAGCTTGCATTGCAGTGTGGAAGCGCACAGTACCAGTCCTCTTTGCGACACAAGAAACAAGAATGCAGTAGCAACACGGAAAGGCCACCACTAGAGAAAATGCAATTAAGTTCCTGACGCAACAGTCTAGGCATCTTCAAGATCCTACGAACATGAAATAATTTGAGTTGCCTCGCTGTGGTGTTCAGTTTAATACTGCTAAGAGGGGCGGTGCGCGTTGTGCAACCCGCTATGCTGCTATCGGTTTGTGGTGAGCGTGCATCATCTCAGCAAGTTCGACCTAGGCATATACTGAGAAAAAAACAAGGGACAGTGCAGCTGTGAGCTGCTTGTACCTTGAGGCTAAGGCATCGGGTGCTATGCAGCGGCTGCCTGCAGCATCGCCGCAGAGATCTGCCACCTTCAAGTCTAGCGCATCAGTCCCTGAGGAGACGAAAAAAACGCCGAAGGTAGACATTTTGTCAGCGTCAATTCGGGGATGTTTTGTAATGTACCTGGCATACGCTGGAAACATCACCGTGTTACACAGCTCGCCAGCTCGCCAGGCAAACAGGCACTTAGCTACCTAGACTAACACCAGGCAACATGATCACAAACACCACGCTACCTCTTTCAGACAAGCGAACAACCTGACGAAAACTCTTGGCGTGGAAGAGGAGGCGGGCCAAACCTAGCACGGTGCCGCCGCCAATGCAGGTGCCAGTTACCCTCACGAAGCTGCTGGCGCTCTTAGCCTGCACATATCCATAAATTTGCCGATACAAACTTCATATTCTTGTGATCAAGGGCCAAAGAGCCGAATAACCACGAAAAAATGTGTGTGCGGGTGCGTGCACAGATCCCAGTGCGCCTGTGTGGAGTGCAGCAGCGACAGCTGACTGCCATGATCCGATGACAACTGTCACATGAATGCATTCATGTGAAATATTGCTTCTCAAAACAAATACGTCAGCGCCACCCCGTGCCGACCGGCACTTCAAAGCCATCAAGAAAAGCTGAGTCAGTCAAGAGGACGCCTCATAAAAACATCAGGTCATTCAAGTGGACTCCGCAATCCTTTTAACACAAAAGTAAAGCCACAGCACGCTGCGGTTCACTATTCCAAACAGTTTAGCAGTGTGCACAAGCTCACAAACATTTATACGCATGAACACGAATTCAACCTTACACACGAGTACATGGTAGCAACTTGCCGTGCAAGTGAAAAACTCACCTTGAGGATAGAGACACCAGAGCCGATGTTGACCACCAAGAACGGATAAAGGTCTCGTGACTGATTAGCAAAAGAAATGACACAAGGCGCTACAGGACGCGAAAATTAAATATAGAGACCAAAAGTGGGGCAGAAGTGCGAGCAGAGAAATAACACAAAGTAAAGCCTTGGGCACCCAGCAGGGCGTGCCGTCCAAACAAAGGCGGAGGGACTCAGAGAAAGCAAAACGCGCAGGCGACGAAAAAAAAGGATAGTTGAAATCCAGGCAAGTCACGCATGGGGAAGTAGCGACGCGGTATAAGAGGCCAGGCACATGCGAACGACAAAAATGACAGGAGACGATAGCGGAGGAGACGGCCGGTGAGCAGAGACAAGCATATCATGGCAGTCGACAAAGACACCATGAGGTGTTTTTAACGCAGTAATGAGGCAAGAGCCAGAGGCTGTGATGGTGATATGGTAAGGCTCCTTACAACGTCCACAGGCACTCGCTGCCTCGTGTTCAAGTCAAAACGGAAGACAGAGTTCGTATGAGAGGCCAACAACACGAGGCCTGCCATGATGCTGTCTATTTCATCTGTGCGTTGCAAAGACACCCCAAGTTGCTCCGTGAACAGTTTGGCGTACTTCATAGCACCACCCCCTGTCATTCGTAGCACTCCCCCCTTGACAAGGTCGCGGCCTGACCCAAACATAAAAACAAAACAAATCCACGGCGCCAAAGAATGACGTCCAAGGCACTCAACCCTGTCGTAATGAACGTGAACAGAGACAAATGCACTTTGCAATGGCAACTGCGTGCCGAAACAGATGCAAAACAGCGAACGGTATACACACAGATCTGCGTAAGATAAACCCTAATGGGAACGCAATCACGAACGGGAGCACAAGTACAGCAAGGAAGAAACTGCGATGTGCTCAGTGAAGCAACAAAGAGAACGTCGGTTCCTCAAGACGCTAAGCCAGTGGAGCAGCATCTCGCCGAGCAGTAAGGCGGAAAAGGCGAATAGGGAAGCAGCAAAGACAGTGAGCGTTGGCGAGTCTGTATGCTCGGCAATGTATCTAGTAAGGTTAAACCAGCACCAATTCACAGTTCAGCACCAAGACAGGCACACGTTTCAAAAAGGCCTACTGCGCAAACAGTCCAAAAGGGCGGAAATCGCCTTTGTGCGGAAATACGTGAAGCGCAGCACGCGGCGTGGGGAAGCTGCAGAAACACTTCAAGAACAGCCCTATGCAGCCATGAGCTTCCATGGCAGCTGACTAAACAGCTGCACTGTCGCTGTTCCTGCGAGTTCTGCTGCTGTGCCTTGCTTTTCTTGATAGTAGCAAAGAACTGGGCAGTGGTAAGGAAGGGATAAAGAAAGAAATGAAACGAAGCAGCAGCTAGCAGCACAGGCTGGGGCACAAAGGCGTCACTCACGAGCCAAGACGAAGGCAAAGGCAAGCCACGTGGTTGCAAATGCGCACTGCGGCGGAGCCCACAAAAAATGAGAGTGAACAAGGAAGTGCAGGCAGAAAACAGGAAGTGCTATTTGCAAAAACAGAAACATAAACGCCAACAAAACGCCGCAGAGCCAGCAGCAAACAAGCTGCTGTCGACCTGTAGCCTGGAAACGGCAACGGAAAGGAGGCAGGCCAAGCCCGAAGATGACAGGCATGAGCATCGAACAAGATCCGGGAGAAGACAGACACAGAAGGAGGTAACTTGAAAAGCAATATGTAAACAAAAGTACAGGAAACGCACGCACCCCTTATTGTCAGCAGCGGAGATGCCAAGTCCAGTGCAGCATCGCAGTTGCTTGCATAGGCCCTGGCAGCCAGCTGGGGATCCCTCCGTGAGAAGTCAGGGCCGCCAGCTGCTGCTGCTGCTGCTGCTGCACTCTGTGGCCCCAGTTCCTCTATGAATACCAACTTTGCCAGAGTCCCCCCCATGTCCACAGCGCAGCGCACGCTGGGCGAGGCCTCTTGCAGCAATGAAAACAAAAAAGCAGCGCCGGGGCTCAGCGGCTTGCGCGGAATAAGCAGGAATATGTATTCGCCTAGGCGGCACCCGCACCGGCGCCAAGGACTGCGGTGACAGCTGCTGCTGCTGCTGCCGCTGTGACTGTGGCTGTGGTCGCTGTGTCCTTGGTGGCTGCTGCTTTGTTCTCTTGCCTGCTGAACTGCTCCGCCATGGGCGCCTCGGCAGCAACGCCTGTGATGCACTCGGCCTAGATGGCAGCAAGCCCGCATAGGCTCAGAAGCTTCCGGAGCTGCTTCCGGGGGGCTGGGCTTTTCGTGCTGCTGCTGCTGCTCCTGCTCGTCCATCTCCCTTGGCTGTTGTTCGAGCTGCTGCTGCTGTTGTTTTTGCCGTTGCAAGCCAGACAGGGTAGATCCATGGCAACAATGCTCGGTGCTGCTCTCACGATGCCTTTTGCATCCCTCTGTATGCCCTGCTGCAGCAGCAGGGCAGTCAGCTGGCTCAGCTGCCTCTGCTGGTGCTGTTGACGCTGCAGTTGCAGTCGTTTCCGCCGCTGTCGAGGTCTCTAGAGGAGCTTCTTGATCATCACGTGCCGTAGAGGATTGATTGAGCTCAGCGCCGCTACTATGGGAGTCCATTGTTTCTATTGCTGTAGCAGCTGCGGCTCTGCTCTCCTGCGGCTGCTTCGCCCGTGCTGCCGTCCGCGCGCCACCGCCTTTGTTGCTGGTGCCGTGTCTTCTACCTTTGCATGAAGACTGTACAGGATACAGTGGTTTGTCAAGGGAAACCCCTGCAGCGCTAGGGCTGAACAATGTCACTTGGATGCAGACACCCGACAAGGGGGGCGCTGATCCAAAGGTATTTAGTTGGGAATCGGAAAAAATAGCATCATATGTTTTGAATTATCTGTTAAAATTGTATAAGTGAATTTTGGAGACAAATGATTAAACGTTTAGGAGCCGAAAAGGAAGGGTTGGAGGCCCTGGTACTGGCTCTGGAGGGAACGGCTGGCAACCTCCGGCAGAGAAGGGCGGCAGCACAGCTCCAAATACCGGTGACGTCCCCCCAACTTCTAATTATAATTAAGAGAGAGTGATTGAAGGTACTTGCTTGGCAAGAGCACGTCCAGTCGTCGTTTCCGCCTTAGCAGCAGCAACTGTTGATGCTCCTGCTGCTGCTGCAGCCTCCGCGGGAGCTGGCGGTGCATGCAGACTACTTCCCGCAGCGTGAAAATTATCCCATATGATCCCATTGCTCAGGAGTGCCCTTGGGGGTTACTTGAATGACACCGGAAGTGCTCTTTTCCAAATATCTGTCGGCTTTATGGTATATGGAAGGCGAGGGGCCCTGGGGTCACTTAGGGGCTCTAGTATGATCGGCACAGAGAGCGCTGTTGCTTTCTTCACTAAGATTATTTACCGAATTTGATGAATTGAATGGTTACAGCTGGCTCAGCCAGCGCCTTTGTAGCTGCATCTCCGCCTGGGCAGGAGCAACCCAAAGCCAGGGTAAGGGAGAGCAGTAGGCTGAGAAAGGCAGGAGCATAAGCATTACCTCCTGTGAAAACTCCTCCTTGATACACACATACGCAAGAGAAAGAGTTTCATACCAAGATGAACAGAGTCACGGCCCAACGCCTGGAGCGAAAGAGCGCGCCTGCATGAATTTTAAATCCTGTCTCACACCTACAAATCTACACACCTGCGCATATTGAAACGCGGAGCAGGCAGTGATATACCACGATTGCCATTACTTGTCCGTTGCTTCTGCCCTCAGCCCCTAAAAAGCGACCGCAAGGCGCCATGCTCGATTTCGAGGTGTCCAGTGAGCCTGTGAGACTTCGTCGGTTTGGATGCCATTAAATGCATGGTGGGAAGATATAAAACTTTTTTTCGCGGCACTTCTTGCTCTCTTTTCACGGCTTTAGTAACGCTTTAGCTAGAAGGACCCCAAAAATGCGGTGCGAATTTGCATTTGCTGATTTCAGAAACTGCATCGGATTCAATATACTCCAAAAACGCTCTTTTTCGTGTCAAAAAGTGCGTACTTTGATGTTAGGTGCTGCTGCTGCTGCAGCATGCCGTGCTGCTCCAATACTGTCTTGTCATACTGCTTTTGCTGAGCCACCTCAGCAACAGGTGGAGCAAGCTGTTTCCTCAACACAACTGCAGCAGCTCTGCCGCAGCGGAACTTGCAGGTAGGGGAACAGTGGGCTGGATGCAGGTAGATGCGACGCAGCAGTAGCAGCAGCAGCCACTGCAGACTCACGCGCTGAAGAAATTTGGTTTCAAGTTAGTAGCTGGGTATAAAACCGCTCTTCTCACTGGTGGCGCCACAAGAACGCGAGCGCCCAGCTCCATAAACATGGTAGCTGCACACGTAAGGGCAGTGTCGGCTTGGAAAAATTCACCGTCCAAGCCCAACCCACAAGGGTTCGCATCACGCTTCGGCCAGCAGCAGTCTTGGCTTGCCGGATGATCTACCTTCCATAGGTGCACTACTGCCGTACCCTCAGGCACTAACGGCTCGTTTGCACATGCTTCTTAATAAGTAAGGGTCTTAACAAGTAAGGATAAGGATTGCGAAGAGCATTCAGAGCAGTACAGGCTTGCTGAAGGGTGCTAACTCTCTTTTTTGTGTCCACCTTCATCTCTTTAGGAAGATTAACATCTACAGTGTGCAGCGCGTCACAACCTACAAAAAAGCCGAGTGGTAGCGCTTGCGATAAATTAGCAGTGAATCAGCGTCATTTCTCTACCAGCTCATCCAGAACTTCGTACTGCCCTATCAATAGGTGGGGTCTCCCCAAAGTGCTCACCGTCCAGAGACCTATAGCGAAACAGGCTGTTGGGAGATTATTGCTTCTGTCATCGGTGTTACATTCCTACAACATGCAGTCTGCTGTGGCTCTAATGCTATGTAGCCATGTGCCCTACTGGGGCTTTTGTTTTTGTTACACAAGATAGTTGTGGAAGAGGCTAGAACCAAACAGCAATCGAATTTCAGTTGCAGTTACAAAAAAGAGCCAGTTCTGATCCACAGCACTTGCCAGCAATTTGTTTTGAACCAACTCCTGCAGATACGGCTCACTGTTTTAAATAATCTTAGCTGAAGCTAAGCTAGACTAAGGGCTAATCCTTTGCATGGGCTATTTTTACAGTGATACCCCTGGCCTTCAACTCACCGCTAGAGGAGGTTCAAACTCATGTCACTATATCGAGAGGACCAATGAATCAAGAAAGATACACGTTGCTGCGGCTGCAAACTTGCTACAAATAAAGGTGTTTTAGAGTGCAAAATGTGGTAGAATTGTGGCTTCTGTATCTACCAGATTTATTGGATGGTGAAGTGAACGATCCTAAAGCCTTCGTGGCTACGTTTGAAAGAGAACTGGAGTAAAACACAGCCCACGCGGAATAGATGCATACACAGCGGAGACAGGCTACCATCAAACTAAGCAAGCTGGAAAACAAGATCTTGTGGGATAAATATACGCAGCATGGCTGTTAAACGACTCGCCAGACGGTGCCACGCACTACTGGGGACCTTAAAGCTTCCCAGAAGAAGCCAAGACTTTGTGAGAAGATAAAAGTAGGACTGGACAGAAACTTACACAGTTTACAACATATTCTACATAGAATGTGGAATTTCAAGTGGCTGCTGAGTTGCAACAAAGGACAAAGGCGAAGGCTAAAGCGAGTGCTAGGGGAAAACGGAAAACTCAGAGTGCATTTTGAAACGATTGGCGAAGGCAACGAACATAGTCAAAGCTTGAAACTCGAAGTTCAGGATAACGAGATGTGCCCGTGATACAGATCAGCGCTTTAAAGGATATAAGGGCTGTGAAAGTAGCCAAACATATGCAAAATGGCAACCGGAAAACAGGTATGCTGCCAGAATTCCCCTATTACAGCACTTCTTCCCTAGACGTGAGCGGAGCAACACTTGTGCCATACCCCGCGCCAAAGATCTACCCTACTTCCCGAACTTCTCCTTTGTTACTCATCCGCAAACGCTATTTTAACCACGATACACGCATTTTCTTAGTCCCGTTTTCACATATGCCTTTTGCTTGAAGAGCAGAGCTCTTGTTGCGAGCGCTGGCAGTTGCGCGTAAACCACGGATGCCTTCTATGCGCCAAGTTTTTACAAATGGTCTCAAGAATGCCTTGGGTCTGCTTTGCGTCACCTTGTGTGCTGTTTTGCGTAGATGCGAGTAGTCGATTGCTACAGCAGCCCCGTCTTAGAAGACACCTAAGCTGAACTATTGTGAAAGACATTACAGATCTACTCATAGGAACGGTCGGGAACAATGTTACCAGTGTTGTATATCCCTGAAGAGTCCAGTGTTCTCTGAAGTGGGCCAAACCCCATTATCAACATATACAGCGGCAAACACGTTCTTTCAAGCATCCTTTCAAAGTAAAAACATGTGCCAGATCTAGCTTATGAATTGCCTAAGTATAAGCGTAGCCAGTGTCACTTCTGCACATGGAGCTACCCCTGGGAGCAGAGCTCATTGCGGCCCGATATTACTAGCCTACTTCAGGGGCCACGATCCCGTGGACTGCAAAGTGTTACCACTATTCCCGGGTATCTGTGGAGAAACAAGGTATCTCGAGGACTTTCATGACAGAAAAGAATTGCCATTGGTCACTTATCAGTGATGCCTGCCAAGCCGGCCTTCGCAAGGCGCTGTCGTGGGTTTTGACACACGCACGTCCGACGTGCATACTGCTGCAGTGCCAATTTGTGCCTATTCTCTTTTGTACCACCGGAGTTATATTTCCTTCATTTTTAGCATCATAGTAGGTGTGTGATTTAGAGGCTTCCTGCTTTGTTTGTGCAAGCACGTGACGACGTCACGACCTTCGAGCCCGATCTAGTAATGGCAGAGACGATTCTCTATTTTTCATGCACCCCTCAGTTTTGATTTGGAAGAAATATGGGAAATTTAAGGTGAAGTCGACATAATGCCTTTTGTGGGAACATGGCTCAGGCAGCTTTTCCACTGGTCATTTTCTCTCCTTCTGGTGGACATGATGTAGACGTTTCGCCGTCCCATTTTCACTGGACAGCGGGCGACCACGTAGACAATGAAGTGGTTAAGCGCACTCGGCACTGGATCCGCAGATCTTCTCAGTGCAAGTGGCCCATCTTGTTCTCCGTGCTGGCTGTCGTGGCCATCACTCTTGGCTGTTGGCGCATATGTTTCGGGCCGAGAGGCCGCAAAAATGGACAACGACGATTGGCAAGTGGATCATCTGAGGGAGGCGACCCCGAGCTCTCAGCCATACTTGACTGGTGCCTGGAAATGGAAGAAGAGAGAAACATGCTTCAAGCACCTTCACATGTCCAACCTCAGACAGTACAGCGGGTGCATGAAATGCCTCATTCCAGTCCCCACTACCAGCAAATGCTGCAAGCAGGAGTGATGAGCACGTTTGCAAGTGGAGGGCAGGGTTCCCCAGCTGTTTTACCATCACAACACACATTGCCACCACAGGCACTGCAGCCGCCTCATGCAGAGACTCCTCTCAGCTCCAACTATCGGCATCTGCTGCCGACAGGCCAGACACCTATGCCTGCAAGTGGGGAGAATGCTTTCCGTGCCTATTTAGGGGAAGGGCAGCTGATGCCACCTACAACAATGCCACCACAGGCACAGCAGCCGCCTCCTCGAGAGCCTCCCTCTAGTCCTTATTATCAGGATCCGCTGCGGGCTGGCCGCACAAGCGCGCATTCAAGTGGAGGGGGGACCATTCGTGCCCTTTTAGAAGGAAGACTGCTGCCACCTACAGCACTGCTGCCACAGGCACAGCAGCCGTACCATGGAGAGGCTGGTTCCAGCTCCCACTATCAGCACCAGCTGCATGCGGGCCAAACAAGCACGGTTAAAAATGGAAACGAGGGTGCTCAACAACTTCCAGAGGGAACGAAGCTGTTATCGCCTACAGCGTTGCCACCACAGGCAGAGCAGCCGCCTCAGGAAGACCCTCATTCCACTTCACACTACCAGCAACTGCTGCAAGGAGGCACGGCAAGCACGCTTCCAAATGGAGGTGAGGCTTCGCTTCCCGCTTCAGAAGAAAGGCAGCCGTTGCCACCTGTAGCATTGCCACCACAGGCACAGGAGCCTCCTACTGAAGAGCCTCAATCCTGTTCCCACTACCAGAACCTGCAGCAAGCAGGCACGACAGACACGCTTGTAAGTGGGAGTGAGGCTGTCAATCCTTCGTCGGAAGTAAGAGGCCAGCTGCTATCACCTACAGCACTCCCAGCACAGGCAGAGCAGCCGCCTCGTTCGAAGCGTTATTCCAGTTTCCTTTACCAAACACTGATGCAAACGAGCACGACAAACAGATTTTCAAGTGGAGGGGAGGGTTCTCCAGCTGTAGAGGGAAGGCAGCCTTTACCAGCTACAGCATTGCCACCACAGGCACTGGAGCCGCCTCATTCCACTGCCCACTATCAAGAACTGCAGCAAACAGGCGCGGCAACCACGGTTCCAAGTGGGGGGAATGCTCCGCATCCCTTTGTAGAAGGAAGGCATCGGTTGCCACATACAGCATTTCCACAACAGGCGCAACAGCCGCCTAATGGAGAGCCTCATTCCAGCTCCCACTATCAGCATCCGCTACGTGCGGGCCAGATAGGCACGTATCCAAGTGGAGGGGAGACTTCTCATCTTTGCGGATTTCCACGCCCTATTCAGAACCACCCATGGCCTAACGAAGAAAGAGAGCAGCGCCAAGTGATGTGGCCTGCCGTTTCTTTGAGGGCAAGAGACCCTTCGTCACATGGGCCGGCGCCTCGGCAAACACTGGGCCCTTCTATTGCACCTCCTCTGAGAGGCAACTTACGTACTGCAGAGAAAGGAGTGTCCATCCCCGCTGCAGTTTCTTGGGCAAACGACGCGCGCTCAGTTCCGGCACTGAATGAGCATGATCCGTACCCAGTTGATCCAGCAAGTTTTGCCCCTAGCGTAGCCCAGTCTGGTGAAGGCGCGGGCCCATTGTTTCAAGATGCCGTTTTGCAGGTCCAGCAGCCTGGTGTATTTCCCGGAGCTCAACTGAGCTCAGATCAAGTGCATTCTTCTCAGCTTTCTTCGGGTTCAAATCAGAAGAGGCCTTTGGAAGAGCTTGACGCCGGCAGTTCACGCGATAGGCCCGCCTGCCCAAAGAGGCGGAAAACGGAAATTTTTCTGGAGATAGAGCTGATGAACGACAAATTCGCGTCTGGTGGTACTACTAAGCCTCAAGCTACAGCCACGTCGGAAAATCCGGGAACTTCAGACAACAGCCATGCGATGCAGCCGCCTAGCGACACTTCTGCATCTGAGGGCCAAGCAGATGCTGCACAAGCAGAGGACGCCGAGAGCAGCAGTCCACCTTCTGAAACACCCGATCAAAAATCATGCCGCGCTTACGAGTCTTTAGTTACGCATCCATTTTACAGACTGCCAAGACTGGCGCCTGATGTTAAGGTAAGGCAGTTTTCTCCGGAGAAAGCCTTTTCACGCGGCAATTTGATTTCTCAAGCTTCAGCAGTTTTAGGATGGATTCGCTCACTTTTGGGCAAAGAAGAGCTGTCGGAAAGAGATGCAAACGAGCTTGTTGCCGCCGCGGAGCGCGCTGTGTGTCATTTATTTCATTTTCATCAGTCACCTGTTCTAAAGCTCGGCGCCTCTCAAGCTGCCATGGTTTTGGCGCGCCGGTATCTTATGTTAGATGCGGTTGTCAGTATCATGCATGTTGTAGGGCCGGCAATGGTTGCGCATCAGTGGTGGCCTGAGCTTGCCGCTGCGCTACCAACAACGCTGCATTTCGGATATACCCATTCACCATATAGGAGAACGAGGGCTCTCGAGGAACTTGCGACGAGGCTAAGTACGGCAGTAGAACTGCTAAAGAAGTGCATTCGGCCCTCGCCACAGGAGACTGTTGAACTGAAGCGAGAGCTATTTTGTAAGAAGACGTCTCCTCAGTGCTTCATGGGGCTTCAGTGGGAGGCCTGGCGATTGGATGACGGACTTTGAAGTGATGCACTGCATTAATTCTGCGACTGGGCAGCCTTTACGAAATAGTGGATCGAAACACTGCGTGCTTCACTTCGACTTTTAGTGACCCAGTAAGTGAAACTAACAACAATAATCGAAACGCTCGTGAAACTCTCTGTTCTTCCATTGGGCGAGAAGACTGGACTAGTAGGAAAGTGAAAATGCCTACACCATGTAACGTGTACTCCCTAAGTGTCGGCTTCTTGCAGCTGAAAGTGAATACAGAAGGGTCGACTTTTAAGTGGCCTTTTTGGCTTTTATCACACAGAAATTGGCGACCCTTTTGAGTCTCAGCTTGGGTAGGCTCAGCTTGGGCTCTTATGTTGTAGTCTCATGGACACTTTTTTCATGATCTCTTCACGGAAGAGTTTTTGAAGTATGCGGCTACTCACGGAGGCTGCTTACCTGTAATTTATTGTGAGAATTTTCCATGCATTTGGCGCTGGCGTGGCTTTTGGCTTTCTTTTTGCTGCTGATCGTTAAGTGCTCTGAGGGACCTCGTGGCTTATGCCTCCTCTTCCCGTGAGCTGCCCAGCCTTAGCTGGCAGAGAAGTGTACTCGCGCAGCCACTCGTCAAAGCGCAGCTCCCACGAGCGCCTGCTGCGCACTTTGCAATGCGTTTACTCTGTTGTTGCTCGGCGGATACAATTTCATCGTGACCTCCTTTGAGGCATGGTAAGTTCGCTGACTAGTCTTATCATGGAGTGGCTCTTTTTGATTATGCAGAATGTGAAAGTTCATTGATATGTTCTATGCTCTTATGGACAGAAGACTTACGGACACTAGCTCTGAAGATTTAAACCAGTACTGCTGCGCGGCACAAGCGCTGCAGTGGAGGAGATCCCTCTTAGCCATGTCAATGCCACTGAAAACATGCATGCTTTGTCTACTAAAACGTACCTGTTTCCTAATTTCGAACGCATTGATTTATGTTCACGTTTCGAGGGAAACGCAGTGACACGGTTTAGTTCCAATGTAACCGCAGAAGAGTCGTCACGCTGCCGCTGTGTCTGGCGCCCTGATCCATCTATTGATGCATTTGGAAAATATTATTAAGCCGTTTAGCACAGAGTGCACTGCACCCATGGCTATTATTTCGCAAATGGGACAAAACTTAGTAGGCCCTCAATGTCCTAGAACTGCAGGCACGAACAGGGAACGAAGCTTGAGAGAATGGAGCAACACCAAGAAGCAAAACCATTAAGTGGGCACATATACCGCTTATCGTCAGCGGCGAAGACAAGCTTAGCAGAAAATAGCAGTCGCTTGCATAGACAATGGCGGCCAGCTTGGGATTTCTCCGTGAGACATCAGAGCTCCCCGCGGCAGCTGCCTGTTAATTTGCTGCGCTTGAGATCCTAAGGTGTGAAGGCCAGGTCCACTTTGCCGGAGTGCCTTCCATCTCCACAGCACAGCGCACGCCGGGAGAGGCCTCTTGCAGCAAAGAAAATAAAATGCAGCTCTAGGGCACAGCGGCCTGCGTGGAATAAGCAGAATTGTATTTTCGACCAGGCCGCATACGCACCGGCCCAAGGGATTGCGGTAGCCTCTCTTGCTGCTGTCGTGACTGTGGATGTGGCCACTGACTCGTTGGTGGCTGCTGCTTTTTCTCGCATGCTGAACTGCTCCGCCTTTGGCCCCTTGGCAGTAACGCCTGGCTTCCGCCGGCCTGGATGGGCTGGGTCTAGATGGAGCTTCCGGAGCTGCTTTGTGGGGCTGGACTTTTCGTGCTGTTTCTGCTGCTGCTGTACCTCCTGTTGGTCAATATCCCTTTGCTGTTGCTCGAGCTGCTGCTTTCACTCCTGCCCGTCAGACATGGTAGAGCTATGGAAACAGTGCTCCATGCAGCTCTCACGTTGCTTGTTCCACACCTGTGCTTGCACTGCCGTAGGAACAAAGGGGTCTGCTGCTGTGTCACCGCTTTGCCGTAGCCCCAAGGCTACCATAGCATGTGTAACGCTTATTGCAGCTGGCCAAGTTTCGCACGCGCCAACAAGACTCTGTAAATTGAATATACCGAGCTCGGGAACGGTGGGCTTCTCTTACAGTGCCTGACAACACTGGATTCGGTCAGCACAGCGCAGAGTCCGTTGGGCGTTTGCACCCACTCTCTGCTTCCCGCTGCAGGAAATACAATGAAAGGGAACGGCACCCAAGCTGCTCTCGCTGCGTAGGGAGAACAGCATGCAGCGACTTACTGGCATAAGACAAGTTTACCTCTTGGGCGCAGCGAGGCAGTTCAAGCTGAACGGCCTTGGGGTGAAGGTACTGCTGAGCCGCTTGGGTCTCCTAGATTCCTACGGAGGTAAACAAAAAAAGTCAAAATTCGGTAGAGGCTTCACTGCGTCAGAATTGTGTAAGAGGCTTAGATAAGGCAGCAACAACACCAGCAGTGGTGCTTGTCCCTAAACAGCAGGGACAACAACAACGTCAGCGGCTAACACAGTAAAAGCAGCATCATTGCCAGTAGCTGCAAGACAAATGCCAGCAGCAGCAGCACCAATGATAGGGAGGGCATTTTGTGAAGAAATGCCTAGTGTGTGCTTTGCTGCATCCATGAAAAAAGGCTCAGCTTGCGCCGTGTTGCAGGCCGGGAGCAGGAACGATTAGGGCGAGGTTACACACCCACAGCAGCGAGGGCAGTGGAGGCGCGCAAAGGTACAACACCTAGTGAAACAGAAGCAACTGGCAAATGATTCATATGGAGATTGCACAGTCTAGTGCGTGGGTACAGCTGGCACACCGTTATGCATCGGAGTAACGCTGAGTGCCGAGGCCATGCGCAGCAGCTTCTTGGGCAACTCTCATTCACCTTCTGGGTTGTTGTCCTTCCAGTGTTTGCGTTTGTTTGCGTCTATTACGCTGTTGCTCATCATGATAAGTTGCCCGCTTAAGCACCCCGGCCAGCAGCTACTGATTCATATGCATGGCAGGCACTGCGGTGCAAAATCACTGCAAAGTCTACTGGTCGCCACTTCGCCTACAGTCACATGTCCTGCATAGCACTGCAAAGCCTACTGGTCGCTATTTCGCTTACAGTTACATGTCCTGCATTGGCACGTGCACTTAAGCTGGCGGCCTACAGCAGCAGGAATCAGAGCAGTGCCAGTCTAGTGAGGCAGCAAAACGGACACGCGAGCAACACTGCGTGCCTGTTCACATGTTCACGTGAAAATTGAGTAGAGTCAAGTGAGTCAATCACCAGAGAGGGCGGAGGCCTGTTGAACGCACAGAAGGCAACTGTAAAATGTGTGAAAAACGTGTTAGCTGGGCTAATCTCGCTCAAGACGAAGCTGAAGTACAATATTGCTTGAAATTTTAAGTAGCCTATGTGTCACATTGATGCAAAGATAATTACAGTCAGCCGTGCTAAGTCGGTAGGACACGAGAGACACACTTATAAGAATGACCTTGGAGGAGCTATGGCAAAACTCTGTTGAAGGCGCTTAAGATTCAGTTTTTCAGCTCTACTGTGTGCTGCGTCTATGCATTAATTGGCAGATACAATGATGCAGGCCAACCCATAGCCAAGGCTTGCAGGCTCCTGCAAAACCTTTTCGAGACACTTCATTTGGAGAAAAGAAAAACAAAAATGTGGGAAGGCGCTCACTTCACGTCTGTTGCATGCTTTGAAGGCACAAAGTAACCAAACAAAAGAGCGTCTCGGCGGCAGAACTTCGACCCTAATGAGGCACTTGGTCCTTTTACATACGTCTAAATAAGTTTAAAGGAATTAATTTGCCGTTATTTTCGGTTAACTTGACGAAAGGCCCTAATGAACTGGCCGCACAGGCACCGCCTGTTGCAAATCCATCCCTTCGAATGTCTTCCACGGCACCTTAGACGCGCCAAGTACCACTTATCAAAGCTTCAGTCAAGCGCCAACAGCAGCACAGCTTGAACTATTCGTCATTTTCACCTTTTGAAATACATTCAAACACGAATAACGGAAGACCTAATGGTTTCCGTGCTGTCGTCGGCACGCCGCACGGATGCTACGGCTGTCCGGCCTTCCCGCGGGCTATACAGGAATGCATAAATAGTAGTTTTGAGAGTCTTGAAAGCTAAAGAACTTCATGAGCATCGCTGCAGCGTAGCCCGCAGATCGTTTTTTCTAACACCCTATGGTGTTTGAAAAAACGATCACACGGGCACTATGGCTGCTATGCCTGCTTGAAGCAGAAGGAAGCCGACAGCTAGGGATACATCGACTTTCCTTTTGTTTCGAACTCACGTAATACATCGAATGAGAAAAGAGGAAGTAATTGCGGGACAAAAGCGTGCAGACACACACGCAGACAACGAGCACGCCGCAGCCCCACACAGTGCACGCCGGCCAGTGCAACGGCCCCACCAGCTGCTTTTGCCTCTTCTTCGCCAACGGGAGACTTTGCAGCAGCAGCAGCAGCATTGATAGCAGTTTTGAAGTGCTTTTTGACCCGCCTGCATGCATGCATGCACACGATCCAGCCGCTCAGCGACTTGTCTTCGCCCGAGCACGATCTCCCCGTGCAGCAGTGGCATTCTGTCGCTCCCGCATGCCCCAATGAGCCCTTGACGCCAATTGTAGCAAACGAAAGTTTTTAAATCCTTTGAAGGGGCCTTACACTTTGAGAATCTTCTCAAAGGGGCCGGTGGCCCAGCTGGAGGGCAGGGATCGCCTCTGGGCTGGAGGAGATCTGTCTTGGACCCCGTTCACGGCTCCAGCTGCAGCAACTGCTGCTGCTGCTGCTGCCTGCTGCCTGCTGCAGCGGTAGCAGCTGCAAGGCGCTGCGCTTCTGTGTGTCTTGTCCTCTTTCTCTCACCGTATACGGCGTTTGGCGGTACGCTGCTGCTGTTTCCGCTGCTGCTGTTGCAGCTGCTGTTGTTGCTGCTGCTGCCGCTGCTGCAGTTCAGCAGGACCATAGCCTTAGCAGCAGCAGCAAGGAGCTGCAGCAGCAGCAGCAGCACGCACTGACGTTTAAGATGCTGCTTACGGGGACTCCAGCGCAACAGAAGCCTCGGCCGTTGAGAGGACCTCCGTGATCTTTGGAATTCATAGCAGGCAACATCTGCTGCAGCTGTGCGGCGGGCGCTGCAGCAGAAGCAGCAGCAGCACCTCCACGAGCAACTGCCGCAGCAGCTGATGGAGTAGCAGCCGCTCACGTACACCTGTGGCGTTCCCCTTAATACCCATGGAGCTACGTTCCAGAGCCCCCTGCAGCGGCAACAGCAGCAGCAAACCTCTCGCTGCTGCTGCTGCTGCTGCAGCCACAACTGCAGTAGCAGCGGCAGCACGATTTCTGGAGCATCGACTCTAATAGAGATGCAGCTGGAGGGACTTTCCACAAAAAATGCAGCCACTGCGATCTCCCAGCCTGCTTCTAGTACTGCAGCAGCACCAGCAGCAGCAGCAGCAGCTGCTGCTGCTGCTGCTGCAGCATGCAGCGCTGCTCTGACACTGTCACATCATGCTGCTCCTGCTGAGCAACCCCAGCAGCTGCTGCAGCAAACTGTCTCTCCGACGCAAGTACTCTGCAGCAGCTCTGCCGCAGCAGCACCTGCAGCTGGGGAGCAAGTGGCCTGGGTGCAGGTAGGCGTGACGCAGCAGCAGCAGCAGCAGCAGCAGCCGGCAGTGCAGACTCATGTGCTGGTACACACCTTTGCCTCTGGAGAAGCGGATCTTGCTGCTGTTCTGCGGCGAATCGTGGCCTCCTCTGGCGGTGGAATAGTTCTGAACACGCTGCAGCAGCAGCCGGCTCAGCAGCAGGAGCAGCAGCAGCAGCAGGCGACCCTGGTGATTGACCCACAAGCAGGATTGCTTCAGCAGCCAGCAGCTGCCCAACCCTCAGCCCTCACCGCTGCGCCCGTCACAGTCTATTCCAGCATCGTTCCCCAGCAGCAGCAGCTGCAGCAGCCACAGCAGCAGCCGCAGCAGCAGCAGCCGCAGCACCTACAACAGACGCCAGCAGTTATGACGCCATACGTTCCTTTACAGCTTCGGCACATGCGCACTATTGCTGATCCCTTTCAGCTGCAGCGGCAGCAGCAGCAGCAGCAGCAATTGGTAATGCTGCATCAACAAGCACCGGTCCGTATGCACACAAGTCCTGCAATTTTGTCAGCTCCCAGCGGAGGCCCGGTGCTGCAGCCAGTGGCTGCGACAACAGCAGCAGCAACAGCAGCAGCAGCTGCTGCTGCTGCTGCAGCTTCTGGTGTCGCAGCTGCCCTACCCACGACTAAGCTGCAAGCCCCTGAGCCCCAGACGCCTATGAAGCAGCCGCTTACGCTGCTGGCGCTGCAGCCTCCTGTGCAGCCGCAGCTGCCAGTGCAGCAGCAGGTGCAGCAGCAGCAAGTTGTTGCCCCAGTGAGGTATCTCCCTACAGCCACAGAGCAGCAAGCAACCACTTATGTCCCCTGGCAGCAGCAGCAACAGCAGCGAGAACGTGTGCCGAGGACGCGCAGCGAGTGCTTCTCATATCGGCCGATGCTTAGGAGCAACAGCGCTGGGCCCGAAACGGCCGCAACAGCAGCAGAAGCAGCAGCAGAAGCAGCAGCAACAGCAGCAGCAGCAGCAGCAGAAGCAGTAAGGCTGCGGCGGCAGTCCTGGCCATTCTCTCCGGTGGCTGCAGCCCCACACTATTCTCCGCCGCCTTCTGTGTGGCAGCAGGGCAACGCTACACCGGTAGTGGGCGCCCTGCAGCAGCCGCTGCTGCTGCCGCAGCCAGCCGTTGCAGCAGCATCGCCAGCAGCTGCAGCAGCAAACGAAGGGGCTGCTGCTGCTGCTGCTGCTGCCTACACAGAGCCCACCCAAGCAACAACTCAGTCCACCGCAGCTTTTGGGGTTTCTTTGTCTCCCACAGCTTCGCAGCAGCAGCCAGCACGCCGCGCCCAAAGCGCCTCGAGTGTACGTACACTCCAAGCTGCTGCTCCTTTTTCAAGTGTGTCTCCGCAGCAGCAGCAACAAAGCCAGCAGCGGTTCTTCTCTTTGCCATCAACGCCGCTGCCGCAGGGGACGCGGAGCACTGCAGCAGCAGCTCTCCTGTCTCCTCTTAGTGAGCATGCTGCTGCATCGGCTGCCTTTGCTGCGAGTGCCCCACCTTCTTCCACCGCCGCACCTTTTGATGCTCCTGCTGCTGCTGCTGCTGCTGCACCTGCTGCTGCTGTACCTGTTGCTGCTGCACCTGCTGCTGCTGCGTGGCCAGACACACGTCCCCTTGCAGCTGCGCCGTGGGAGCAAAACGTCAGACGCACTCTTTCCGAGCCGCCCTCTGCAGCCCAAGCAGCAGCAGCAGCGCAAGCAGCAGCAGCAACAGCAGCAGCAAATTCCGCATTTGCGGACGGCAGCGGAGCCCTGACAAGCTTGTCAGGGCGTGCCAGCAGCAGCAGATACTTACAACAGCTTGTCAGGGCTCCGCTGCCGTCCGCAAAGGCGGAATTTGCTGCTGACGTTGCAAGCGCTTGGAGTCCAGCAGCAGCAGACTTGTTTTCTGCTGCTTCGCCTACTGTTGCTGCCGCGCCTGCTGCTGCTGATCCGCAGCCGCTACGTCCTCGGCGCAACAGCTATCCTGTCTCCCCGGCTCTACAAGCAACGCGCCAGCACGCTGCAGCAGCTGCTGAGGGAGCGCTTCGGGCTGCAGCAGCAGCAGCAAGGGCCCGCACTGCTGCTGCTGTTGCTGTTGCTGCAAAGGCAGACAGTCTGGCAGCAGCATCAGCTCTTAGAAGTCCTGCTGCTTCCTGCTACAGCAATACCCCACCAAACCGCCACGTTTCCCCTTCTGCTGCGTCTGCCTCTCCCGCTGCGCCACTGCAGCTGCCACCGTTGCAGCCCTCATATATGTCGCCGCAGCAGCAGCCCCAGCAGCAACCGCTGCAGCAGCAGCAGGTGGTACTGCCGCAGCACCAGCAGCTGCAGCATGTCTCGCCAGCACCCCCTCTCAACCTCAGCTTGCCAACACTGGAGCCAACGCTGCCGCAACTGGAACCAAATGCTTACGGCGATTCAGGATCTTCACGAGGCCTTAACAGCAGCATACTGCAGCGGCAGCAGCAGCAGCAGAATAGCCTTACTTCCCCTGGGCTGCGCGCACTGTCACCGGTTCCTGCTGTGCCTGCAACCCCGCCCTATACACAAGCCAGTGCCTCGGGCAGCGGGGTTTCTCTACAGCAGCAGCCTCAATCCCCGGTGCAGCACCTTCTGCAGCCGCAGCTGCAGCAGCAGCAGGAACAACAGCAGTTGCTGCCGCAACTGCCGCAGCTGCCGCAACAGCTGCCACCTTTGCAGTCCTTCAATTCGCTGCAAAGAGGAGAAACGCCTGCGACGTCCTTAAGCAGCCACTTGCCGCAGCCTGCGCTCCACTCTCCTGTGGTGCAGCAGCTCCCCGTGGAGCAGCAGCAGCAGCAGCAGCAGCAGGGCAGCTACTCTGCCAAATCTGCGCTCAGTGGCACCTTGCAATCTCCGAACGTGACTGGAGCTTCTCCAGTAGGCACAGAGGAGGTGACTTTGCCGCGGCTGCAGCAGCAGCTTCCGCTGCAGCAGCTGCAAGTAGATGCAGCAGAGCCCTACTCGAGCTCCCATCAGGGCAGCCTTATCACATTTGCGGCAGAGACTCCCCCTGCTCTAGACCTAACCCAGCAGCAGGAGCAGCAGCAGCAGCAACAGGAGCAGGAGCAGCAGATGCAGCGGCGGCAGAGCAGTGGAGTGCCGCTGCGCCTCCCTAGCATGTCTCCATCCAGAGCTGCTGCAGAACGCGCAGCGCTTGCTGCTGCCAGGGCAACAGCAGCTGCTCAAAGTGCCACAGCTGCATGCGCGCGGCTACAGCTGCTGCAGAAGCAGCAAGCTGTGCCAAGAGGGATAGCAGCAGCAGCTGAAGCAGCGGCCATTGCTGCAGAGACAGGCGCATCTACAGCACAGCTGGCAGCCGAGAGGGCAGCACTTGCCGCAGCAGCAGAAAGCATCGTATCTCCTGTGGGATCATCTTTGCTGCGCAGCAGCTCTCTTCCCGCGGAACTGACTCCATCGCGGCTGCAGGTGCAGCAGCAGCAGCGGCAGCAGCAGCAATCGGCGCTCGTACGGGCTAACACGGGAGGCAGACCCCTGGCAAGTCCACGGCTATTGTCCCCCATTGCACTTCAGCAGCAATTGCCTCCTCTCTTTCCCCGCAACACCCGCAGCGCTGAGTCCCTCAGACAAGGACTCCTTAGCCGAAGTCCAGCATCTCGAGTCCAGCGTCCTCAGCAACAGCTGCAGCAACAGCAACAGCTGCAGCAACAGCAGCATTTGCAGCAACAAAAGAAGCCGCAGCAACCGCAGCAGCTGCAGCAACAGCAGCAGCTGCAGCAGTTGCAGCGGCAGCCGCGGCAGCAAGAGCGTCCAAGTGCGCAGCAGCGAGTTCAGCCAGTGCAGCAATTGCAGCAGCGGCGCACGCCTGCGCAACTGCGCGAGCAGCAGCTGCTGACTGAGCAGCAGCAGCTGCGGCAGCAGCGCCTTGAGCTGGAAAGAGAGCTTGCTGCAGAACTGCAGAAGCAGCGCAGCGCCTCAGCCCTGCCTGGGCCTCTTTCCCGCAGCAGCTCGTTGGGGCAGCAACAACTTCCTGCTGCACCGCAGCAAGTGCATTTGCCAAGTCCTGCATTCGCCTACTCCAGAATGGTCAGCAGCCCCACACCCCGCAGCAGCGGCATTCTCACCCGGTCCAGCAGTCTGCTGCAGCAGCAACAGCAGCAGCAGCAACGGCAGCTGCAGCATCAGCAGCCAGGCCGCAGCACTCTCAGTAGCTGGCACACCTCACCTGTCCACACACCTCTGGAAGGCACAAGGACTGGCAGCAGAACCCCAGCGTCTAGAGCAGCAACGCCGGCCGCAGCGAGAGCCGCCTCAACCCCAACATCAGCAACACTGCCAGCAGCAGCAGCAGCAGCAGCAGCAGAATCAATCTCACCTGCTGCAGGCAGCTCCAAGCCGCTTTATGCGCGCATATATTCTCCCGCCAGCAGCCCTTCAAGAATTGGGAGCCTCAAGACGCCCGCGTATTCCCCAATAGATGCAATATCCCCATTCAACATAAGGCAGAATCAGCTGCCGCCGCTCAAGGAGCAGCAGTACCGCATGCAGCAACAGCAGCAATGCCACCGCTACGCCTTCAGTTCCCTGCCTTCCAGCGAGTCACTTTACCCCGGCTTTTCCCTTTCAGCGCCCACGCCGCAGTCCGCGCCTGCTGCTCTGTTCCACAGTAACAGTGGAGGCTTGCAGCGTTTTCCTACTGGTGGGTCCCGGCAGCAGCAGCAGCAGCAGCAGCAAGGCTTCCAGGGACCCGACATTGTTTGGGATCGGCCAGGACAAGACCTCCTGTCTCCTCAAACCTCTCACGGGCCCCCTACGCTGCATGCGCAAACTGTAGACACCCCTCGTAAGCGGAAGCGCACATTGCAGACAGCCCCCTCGCCCTGTTGCCCGTCGTGCAGGGCGTGCTGCTGCTGCTGCTGCTGCTGCTGCTGCTGCATCGCTGTAGCAGCCATTGCTGCTGTTTTGCTGGGAAAGGTAGGTTTTGTTCCCGTAGCCGTTAGCTATGGGCTGCAAATTCTGCTTCTGTCCTTGCAGGCCTAGGCGATGTGCAGACTGCACTGAGTCCAAGATGCGCATCACCGAGAAGGGTCCCGCCTCAGCAGCAGCAGCAGCAGCAGCAGCAGTGGCAGCCATTGCAGTCATCCGCTTCAGTAAGGGGCGCGTCTCCTGTGATGACGCAAACGAGACTATCCTCAGCGTATAGTCCTGCACTGCAGCAGCAAAACAATGCAGCAGCAGCAGCACCAGCAGCAACGGCACCAGCTGCTGTTAATCCAGAGGCAGCTACCGCATCCGCCCAAGGCGAGGGTCTTGTTGATGGAGCTGCCACCGCCACTTCCGCCTTGAGGCACGCTGAACGCGCGGCAGCAGCAGCAGCAGACGCAGCGCAGAGAGCTGCTGCTGCTGCAGACGCCGCTGGGCAATCCCCTGCAGCAAATGCCGCGCGCTTTAGAGCAGCACGGGCTGCAGCAGCAGCACAGGCCGCTCTCATTGCTGCTCAAAAACGAGCTGCTAGTATCAGCCCAGCCCTCCCAAGCCTTCCTTCAAATCCACGCCTTTGCCCTCAGGCGCCGCTGCTGCCACAGAGGCAGCAGTGGCAGCAGCAGGACAACAGCAGCGCAGCACTCCAAGGACCCTCCTTTGGCGAGTGGCCGCAGCAGCAAAGGGGCAGCAGCTCTCCGCGAACAGTGGCGCCGGCAGCAAGGCAGCAGGCAACGCCTCGCGCTGCAGTATTTAGCGCCGCAGCTGATGTTTCTGGCACTGCCTCAGACCCTGCAGCAGCAGCTGCTGCTGTTGCTGCCACTAAAGGGCTGAGAGAAGCAGCGCAGCCCCCTGTTGCCACCGAGCCCTTGCACCATCGCCCCGACGAAGCGTCGCAGCTAATGCAGCAGCAGCTCATTCAACAGCAGCAGCAGCAGCAGCAGAAGCATCAGGGCACCAACACAGAGCCCCCCACCCCATTAACTGTTTCTGCATTTGCTCATCCCGCTGAAAAAGGCGGAGAAGGCAGCCGCAGGCAGCAAAGTGAAATGCCCCTTATCCCGGCCGGTGCTGCAGCTGGCAATGCTGCAGCAGCAACCCATGTAACAGCAGCAAGTTACGCGGCAGCAACTGCTGTGCCGAACGCGGACCCTGTCTTGCCCGTGCTTCGCCACTCACTCGCTGATGTTTCTGCTGCTGCTGCCTCCACTGCTCCTGCTCAGACAGGTCAGGGTACTCAGCAAGGACAGCAGCAGCAGCAGCAGCAGCAGCACGAGCGACAGTTAAAACAGCAGGAGCAGCCACAATGCAACGCGACTCCAAAGTCTACTTTACCGTCCAGCGGCAGCAGCGTCATGCGGCCAAACGGGCAACACGACTGGTTAAGCACGCTAGTGCTGCAGCAGCAAAAGCAGCTGCAGCGGCAAGGGCAGCAGCTGCAGCAGCAGCAACAGGAGCTCCAGAAGGTGCGGCAGGATAGGGAGAGGGAGCAGCAACAGCGGGCTTTGCAGCTGGTGCTGCAGGACAAGCAGAAGGAAGCTGCAAGGAGGGCAGCTCAAGCCATAGAGAAGGAGATCCTTGAAAGGGAGGCCGAGAGGCAGAGGCAGATAGCTGCTGTCGCTGCTGAAGCGCTCAAACATTCTGAGTACGAAACGGCAGCAGTGGCCGAAGAAGCAAATACTGCTGCTGCTGTTGCTGCTGGTGCTTCTGGTGGCGTTGCTGCTGCCGGTGGAGGCCCGGGTGCTGCATGGCCCTTTCTAACGGAACGGCAAAAAAACGGGGTTGCCGCTGCTGCTGGAGATGCAGCTGCTGCTGAACCTAGAGCAGCAGCAGCAGCCAGCAGCAGCGGCAGCGCTAACAGCAGCAGCAGTGCTGCGCGCTTCAGTGTTGAGGCACAGTTCGGCAAGACCCTTAGACAAGACCCTAGCTACCAAGCGTACGGGCAGCAATTGCAGCAGCAGCAACTGAAACAAACACAGCAACAGCAAACGGATCAGCAGCAACAGCAACACCAGCAGAAGCAGCAACTAAGTCAAGTGACGCCTGGCTCCCCACAGCCCTGGAGACCCCCTGGTGACAGCGAAGCTACCATACAATTCACTGCTACACCAAATGGCCTAGAAGGGCCCCAAGAGGCGCTTTTGCCTGTAAAGGGGGCCCAGGACATGCGTGAGGAGGCAGCAGTGCAGGCAGCAGCAGCAGCTGCTGCTGCAGCTGCCCCTATTGATGCAGGGCCTGAAACACGTGCTGCTGCACTGCCGGACGCGTGCAGCAACAGGAGCTCTTTCTCATTTGATGCGAAGCCCCACAGGAGGAGTCAGTCTCCCCTGGCTTCTTCGGCCACAACAAATGTGCACACCGCTCCCTCTACAGTGTCCGACTCAGCAGCCGCAACAGTGAACAGCAGCAGCAGCAGCAGCAGCAGCAGCAGTTTGGGGCTGCCGTCGTCACTGAGGGTCCCAAGTGTCCCATTCACCTGGAAGACCTGCCGCTACCTGCTGATGCAGCTGCAGCGGCCAGCGGACACCTTTTCCATAGACGGCGAGCTGTACAGACACTGGCAGCTGTCTTTAGTGCCCACAGTGGGCGCAGCGCAGAATCGCCAGCGGCAGCAGGTAGCAAAACCCTAAGCCTAAGAAACAGCTAATAAGCAGGTAATAAGCAGCTAAGAAGCAGCAAATAAGCAGCTAAGGCGCAGCAAATAAGCAGCTACGATGCAGTAAATACACAGCTAAAAAGAAGCTAAGAAGCAGCTAAGAAGCAGCTAAGAATCCGCTAAGAAGCAGCCCCTGCTTGAGCCGCGGGTGCGGCTGCTGCTGCTGCAGAGCCCGCATGCTGCAGAAGCCGCAGGGGCTGCTGCTGCTGCTCCTGCAGGAAGCTGCATCTGCTGCCAGTGGGAACACCAGCAACAGTTGAGATTGAACTTGACAGTCTTCGCTTTTTGCTTTCTCTCGTGTTTTTCTTCAGAGTACCACCCGCACTGCGTTGCCCCTCTTTTGGCCGTGCTGACAGACAGCGGGTCTCTTGAGGAGAAGAGCGAGGCCCTGGAGCGGCGCTCTGAGGGATCTCCGCTGCTGCAGCAGCAGCAGCAGCAGCAGCAAGTGGGAGGCGGCAGCAGGAGAAAGCAGCGCACAGACCGCGTGGTTCTCGTCTTCCAGCTCTTCGGGCAGTCCGACTTGCTTGACTTCGTAGAGGCCAATAAACCCGTGAGTCTCACAAACGCAGCAGCAGGGGAGCAGCAAAAGATAATTAACAACATTAAGGCACTCTGCGTCCCCCGGTGTTGCAGCTGCTGCCGCTGCCGCCCAGCTTTTCTTTGTGTACTCTGCGCCAGGATGCTCTTGCTTGCTTCAAAAGTGGGCACATTTGCCTTAAGCAAGACGTATATACCCCATGTTTGCACATAAAGTAGACTACATATATATATAAATTATATATATGGGAGTGGGTATATTCATATACATATATATATATATATATACATACATATATGCATATAAATAAATACACATATATATACATATACATATGTGTATTTATATGCTTACTTAATCCTGGGTGCCGTATGCAAAGCCGTGCATGATATTCAGCAAGGTGAGATTAGCGGTGCAGTATTGGTGGGTTTGAAGGCAGCTGATTCTTCTCTTGAATTGGCCAATTTCAAATTAAATATGAATTTTGTTACACATTGAATTGGGAATTTTTCAATTCTTAGCTTAAAGAGTCAATGCGGACACAAAGGCATATCTGTTTCCACAGAATTCGCTGCGGCGTGAGAGCAGCCGGCCTAGCTTTGGGCTCCTAATACTCTCGAGCTTCGCTCGATACTTTGCATGCGAATTGTTTTAAGTTGCGTATAGTTATACTTAGATATCCCCTTGCCTTGGAGACCTCTGAAAGGTGCTCGTGCAGGTGCTGCAGTGTGTCTTCGTGTCACTGTGACTGCTGCTGTTGTTATTGCTGCTGCTGCTGCCGTTGCTGCTGCCGTTGCTGCACTTTCTCTGCACCAGATGGAGCCCTGGTTTAAGAAGAAGCTGCAGCTGTCTTTGGTGCTGCTGCTGCACTCGCTGCACTCTGCGGGCGTCGCGCACCTTGACTTCACCCCAGAGAACATCCTCGTGCACTCCATGCTCGTGGGCTGCGTGGACAGCAGCAGCAGCAGCAGCAGCAACAGCAGCAGCAGCAGAGGGAATTCAGAGGGCTTCCCGCTGCAGCTCCGGCTGTGCGACTTTGCGAAGGCCACTCCCCTCTTCAACTGGTCCAATCTTCGCTACCCCGCCTCGCTGCTGCCAGGCTGCAGGTCCCAGGGAAGTATGTCGCTGTCCAGCAGCGCTGCTTCGCAGGCAGCAGCAGCAGCAGCAGCAGCAGCAACGCATGAAGAGCTGCCGCCCTTCGTCAGCTGCGAGCCAACCATTGCCAAGGGGCCTTACATGCCCCCTGAGGCCTGGGCAGCCATGCGCATTCTGCGTTCTCTGGGTAAGTTGCTTTTTACTTTTAAATTTAGAGGTCTACAAATGCGCAGTTTGACAAGCAAAGCAGCTGCTGTGAACAGCGGCGTTTCCCGCATCTCCTGCGCCAGAAAATGCATGGAAAAGCCACCACTTTGTGGTTTTTTTTTGTATCAAAAACACATTTATTAACGCGCATGCAGACCTCTTTGGGCATTCTCACGCGCAGCCAAAGCTGCCCGCGAGATCCCCACGGCGCTATCCCTGCGGCGAACTGGCGCTGCTGCTGGGGGCTGCCGCAGCAAAAGAACTGCTGCGCTGCTTCCCTGTGCTGCTGCGCGCAGGCATCACTTCTCCCTTCTCGCAGATCAGCGAAGCGCTGCTGCTGACAGGGAGGCCCCCACCCCCGTTGCAGCTGCGAGGGGGGGGCCTCGGGGCCTTCGGGGGCCCCTCCAAGGGCGGCGTAGATGTGTCTTTTGTCTTCTTTGACGTGCGGAAAGCAGACATTTACATGCTGGGGGTGCTTTTGTTTTATTCGTGGGCAGACGGGGCAGTGTGGGCTACTTCGGACGCGCAGCAAGACGAGCAGTGAGGGCCCCCGCAGAGCACAGATCCAAAGCCCCAAACCAGCATTTTAGCGTAGCTTCTGTGGGGCCCCACAGCCCGCAGCAGCAGCAGCAGCAAACGCTGCCGCGGGGGCTCCTGAGAGCTGCATGCAGCTGCATGCAGCACGTGTGAGGCGTGTTCTCTTGCTGCAGATACGCGAGCCTCATTGCTGGTGATTACTGTTTTTCGGCTTTTCCGGAATGCGCCGACTGGCCCGAACCCCTGCTAGACCTCATCCGTGTCCGCTAAGCTCAACAGTCCCTCAGTGTCCTGAGCGCAGTGCTCCTGCAGCAGCAGCAGCAACAAGAGCGACAGCAGCAGCACACGCCTCATTGCATTGAGCACAAACTGTGCTTTCTGCTGCTGCTGCTGCTGCAGGGCTGCATACAGGAAGACCCGGAAAGGCGGCTGCCGCTGGATCAGGTGTTGCGGCATCCGTGGTGGAGTGTTCCTGTGGATGTGTGATGGGCAAATAGCCCTTAAGCTAGCTAGCTAGCAAGTTAGCTAGCTAGCAAGCTAGCGAGCTAGCTAGATCGGCGCTTGTATACAGGGAAGGTGGCGGCCGCAGCACGTGCCGCGCAGCGTATGAGCTGCTGCGGGCACAACTGCTGCTGCACAGCTGCAGCACAGTATTGTGCTGCTGCGTGCGGTCACTACACTACACGTTTAGGATAGTGGAGGGAGGCTGCAGGAGAAGCGCAGGGGCCTTGCTGGGTCCCTGCTGTTTGTCTTTTTGACTACGGGGCTCAAGCCAAATGTGCTGGCCCCACACTAACGAAACTGCAGCGGGGAGACGCCCCTTTTCGGCGCTGCTGCGCAAAGGGATGAGGCTGCGAGGCAACAACTTTGCAGCAGACACGCGACAGCTTCTAGGAATGAAACAGAGTCCCAATAGCAAGAAAAAGCAGCACAAAAACAACCAATAAAAAGTTTTCAAAAAAAGGCTGGGCATTAAATGACGGCGGCAGAGGCAGAGGCGCCTGAGCTGCTCTGTGGCATTCCGTTGTGAGGCGCCAGGGTGCTCGTGGCAGCTGAGCCCGCGAAGCGTTTCGAGTCTGAAACATGTAAATTAATAACGAAATATGGGAAATAAATAATAAATTAATCTAATTAGTGCTTCTAGAAGTGAGAACTGGAAATAGATTGGGCGTTATCAGCCGCTCGGCGCAGGCGGACGCAGGTGACCTGGCGGCGCAGGGCTGCTGCATTTCCCCTCCGCCTATAACGCGGCTGGGGTTTGCTGCCTCCATTTTGAGGTTTCAGTCTTCAAATGATGAAGCAATTATAAACTTTTGCGCGTTCGATTGACAATTCGATGATTTATTCTTGTCTTTTACTGGCGAACCCTTTTCCGCGAACCCCGCCTCCCCCAGGTGACCCTGCGAGCTGACCAGTGGACCGCTTCGTTAGGCATTGCTCTTAAGTGCAGCTATAAGCAGAGACCAGCGGCCTCTGGTTGAATTTATTTTTAGTTTATTTCTTTTTCGAAACGCCTGACTTAGGTCTGCAACATGTCGCTTCGGAGAGCTCGAACTCTCCTCGTCTTGTTCACAGGCCTGTCGCTGCAGGGGCTCTCAACAGCAGCTCCTGGCTACGACGTCTCTCTGACGGAAGGTGCAGCAGCAGACACGCCGGCTGCAAGAGATGCGGCCTCAGCGGCAGCAAGTGCAGCAGCAACAGCAGCAGCAGCAGCAGCAGCAGCAACGGCAGCCGGAGAGGAGCAGCAACTCGCTCCAGACCTTCCCCCTGCCCCAGACGATACACAGCCAGACAGCACTGCAGCAACAGCAGAGTTTGTAACTTTGCCTCTTTCGACTTCGGACTTATTAGCTGCTGCCCTTGGTCCTTATGATGAACGGCTAGGGCCAGTTGTTGCGGCAGCCGCAGCAGCAGCTGCTGCTGCAGCGTTAGTTGCTGCTGCAAAAACGCAGCCGCCGCAAGACGCTGCCCACCCTGCAGCCACTTCTGCTGCACCTGCTGCACCTGCTGCTGCTCCGCCTGTCGACGTGCCCTTAGAAGACAACAGCACGTTTGACGTGCAGCTTTACTTGACGCCGCAGCAGCAGCAGCAGCGGCTGCAGCGCCAGCAGCGCTGGCTGCCGCCTCGCGAGCAGCAAGACGTGATGCTGCAGCAGCTGCTTCAGTACACTGCTGCACAGGCCTGGGATGTCTACAGAGCTTCTCGGCTCAGCGCCTTCACCGACGCAGCCTCTTCATACTTCTTAGTTAAGCGGCAGCAGCAGCCCCAAAGGCAGCCGAAGCAGCAGCAGGACCAGCAGACCCAGAAGCAGCAGCAGCAGCAGGATGAGCAGACCCAGCAGCAGCAGCAGCCGGAACAACAGGCCCAGCAGCGGGACCAGCAGCAGGAACCACAGCAGCAGCAAGACGCGCAGCAGCAGGAGCAGCAAGGAGAGGAGCGCCCGTAGCAGCAGCGCGCAGAGGACTCAGCACCAGCAGCAGCAGCAGCAAGCCTCGCAGCAGAGGCCCCAGCCAGGGGAGCAGCAGAAGCAACAGCAGCGCAGCAGCAGCAGCGCGACGGGCATTGAAGGCGGTCTTTTTGTTGGGCGAATTCGCAGCATTCATGCAGCTTAAACGCCACAAATAAACAAATTGATTAATCTAATTAATTTAATTAATTAATTAAAAGAAGTCCCCTTGGCTTAAAAACATTTTTGTCTTTTTGACAGCAGCGCCTCTTGAGAGGCGCTTGGTTTGACTTCAACACAGCGACGCTCAAATGCGTCTAATTTGTCTATCGGCTGTTGCTGCTGCTGCTGCTGCTGTTGCTACTGTTGCCTTTGCTGCTGCAGCAGCTGTCGCTGCTGCTGCTGTTGCTGCTGCCGCTGAAGCTAAGGCCTCCGCCAAAGTAGAACTTCACTGTTTGAAGCCTTCTGCCTCTTGGCTTAAGCACTAGGAGCGAGCACAACTGCTGCTGCTGCTGCTGCTGCTGCTGCCAGTGCCGCTACTGGCGGAAACGGCGCAGCACAACGCACCAGCTGCTGCAGCAGCAGCAGCCGCCAGCCATTGTCACTTCGACTTCGCGCGGCCGAGGTGTACATACACCGGAAAGCCGGCGCAGGCGCCCAGGTGTACATACACCTCGAAGTCGGCGCAGCCAAAAACTCAAAATTTGTCTTTTCTTTTTCTTCCCGAGTACTTCGAGTCTGGCCGAACTTTCTTTCCCTGCATCAGCCAGCAGCAAACGCAGCACCCAAGCGTCGGCGCTGCAGCAAATGCGGCTGCAGCAGCACCTAAACAAGCAGCTGCAGTAGCAGCAGCAGCAGCTGCAGCAGCTGCACTAGCAGCAGGGGGCGTAGGCTGCGAGTTCCCTTGTCTTCGCTTTTGCTGCTAAGTGCGATAGCCGCGGCAACAGCGGGTTGTGCAACGCCAACAGCAGCAGCAGCAGCAGCAACAGAATCGAAAACAGTAGCAGAATCGGCAGCAGCAGTAGAATAAGAAGCAGCTGTAGGATAGGAAGCAGCGGCAGAATCAGAAGCAGCGGACGCAGATGCAACAACAGAGGTAGAATCAAAAGAAGTAGCAGCAGCAAGACGCGCAACAGCAGCATTAGCAGAGAGACCCAGCAGCAGCAGAAGCAGCAAAAAAGAGACCGGCAGCAGCAGCAGCAGCAGCAGCAGCACTTCGGGTGGATCCAAACCTTCATGCTTTGCTTCTCTTTCTTCTTGGCGATCCATTCCTTCTTAGAAATTTGTTTCTTCGCTCTTCGCCCAGACACTAGAGGCCGTCTGATAAGTATCACCAAAACCCTAAACCCTAAACCCTAAAACCCTAAACCCTAAACCCTAAACTCTAAACCAACTCTAAACCCTGCAGTCTGGCCTCGAGGCGCAGAGCCTCCGCTAGAGGCGCCAGGTATCAGCTCTCAACCATATGGGGAAAATCATAGCTGAATCCAAACCCCAATCCCCACACCCTAAACAATAGGCCCCAAACCCTAGACCCGAACCTAAACCTGAACCTAAACCCATGGCTTCTCACTCTCTTCCTTCGTTGATAATCGCAGAAGTGCCCAGGGCTTTCGGCAGCTGCTGCAGCTTCCGCGCGTGGCCTCCTGGCAGCCACAAACATAAGAAGTACCTGCGCAGAAACAGCAGCAGCAGCAGCAGCAGCAGCTGAAGCGGTAGCAGCAGAACCAGCAGCAAGGGTGGCAGTAGAGGCGGCGCAGCAGCAGGAAGCATCAGCTGACGTTCACGCTTCCGCAGACGCAGCAGCAGTAGAAACGGAAAGGCAGCAGCAGCTACCGCTGCAAAGTGTGAACCACCAAAAACACATATCCACTGCAGCAGCAGCAGCAGCAGCAGCAATAGCAGCAGCAGCTCACTTTTTGGCTCTGGTTGAATTGGGAAAGTCAACTACAAGGCCACCCTCGAAGCCGCTGCGCAGCGCAGCAGAAGTCAGGCTTTCGAGCTGCTCCGCGCTGTCTGGGTAAAACTGTAAGGCCTGCAGCAGCAGCAGCAGCAGCAGCAGCGGCAGCAACCGCACCATCAGCCATAGAAGCAGCCACAGCAGCTGCAGCAACAGCAGCAGCACGGCACCAGACTGCACTCCTCTCTAGGAAATTGCCCCACAGTCCCAAGTATGAGGCAAAGCGCAGAAGCGCAGCCCGGGTGTACGTACACCTCAGCCACAGCCACACGCTGCTGGAGGTGTACGTACACCTCATTCACTAAACAACTTTTACTTCTCATTTTCACTGCTTCGATGCCAATTGAAAAAAAATGAAAAATAAAACAAAAGAGCTGCTGCGAGCGGCTCCGCAGCCACCCTCAACTCACGGCCTCCAAACCCTAAACCCTAAACCCTAAACCCTAGCTAGTAAAACCTAGGGGACAGCGAGGCTGCGGGCCACCGCTGGGGTGTACGTACTGCTCGGGCTCCGGGCTTCAGAGCTCTCGCGAGATGTTCAAAGAAGCAAGTTTGGCGTCTGTAGGCAGAAGCAGGGAGTGCAGGCCTGCGCTGCCGCTGCTGCTGCTGCAGCAGCAGCTGCTGCTGGTCCGAAGCCTCATCCTCGTCCATGTCCTCTTCCCCGCCGCTGCTCCCCCCTGCTGCTCCCGCTGCTGCTGCTGCTGCTGCTGTGTTTTCGGGTGTACGTAGAGCGTCGGCTATATCAGACTTAATGTCTGAACAAAGCCACTGAATGGCACTGATAGAAATGGCCCCGTCGAACGTGCCTGGCCTAAAGTAGAAGGCTGCAAGCCCAACGCGCACAAACCCTAAACCCTAAACCCTAAACCCTAAACCCTAAATCCTAAACCCTAGAGCTTCACGTAAACTCTAATTCTTGGGCGGCTCGCACGCCCAGACTTGCGCCTGAGCTCGATGCCGCATACAGCAGCCTGCATGCAGGTCTTGGCTGTAAGCCTTAGGGTTTAGGGTTTAGGGTTTAGGGTTTACGTTTTCCCAAGTCCGCTAGCAGAGCATCTGCAGTTTCCAGGTTTTCCAATTCTCTGGCTTCCTCTGCAGCCACAGCAGCAGCACCGCAGATGCGTCGCTTTTGCTGCTGCTGCTGCTGCTGTGTGTCCGTAGGTTTGATTTGCTGCCTCAACTCCGATTCAAACTAATGTTGCTAATGCTGCTGCTGTGCGTTTAAGTCTTAGCTGCTGCTGCTCTCCTTTTGCTGCTGCAGCCGCCTCACTCCTGTGTGCTGCAGCACCTACTCTAGGTGGCACTGTTTAGCAGAAGCAGCAGCAACTCAGGCTACACGGCCAGCAAACATGAGCAGCAGCAACAGCAGCAGCAACAGTGCTGCAAGCTGCAGCACTAGCAGCGGCGGCAGCAGCAGAATAAGCAGCCAGAGCAACCACAGCCGAACTGACCGTGGTAGCAGCAGCTATACCCACAGCTGCATCCGAGGCAGCAGCACAGCCGCAGCAGCAGCAGCACAGCAGCAGCAGCACAGCAGCAGCAGCAGCAGCTACCTAGCATGTGTCTTGAGATGTCAAGTCCAACTACGAAATGGCCCTTCTCAGAAACAGCAGAGCCGCTCATGCCGCAGCCAAATCCCAGGTCTAAGACAAGGCAGCTCTGCAGCAGCAGCAGCAGCAGCAGCAGCAGCAAATGCAGAAGCAGCCGTAAGTGCAACAGCAACAGCAGCAGACGCACAAGAAGTAGCAACAGCCAACGCGGCAGCAGTTGCAGTAGTAGCAGCAACAGCAGCAGCTCGCGAACCATAATGCCAGCAGGAAACACAGCAGCAATAACACCAGCATCAGCAGCAGCAAAAGTAGCAGCAGCTGCGAGTGTCGGCAAAGCAGCAGCAGCAAATACGGCAGCTGTAGGTACAGCAGCAGCAGCAGCGGCAACACGTGCAGAAGCAGCAGCAGCAGCAGCAGAAAGAGATCCACGTACAGCAGCAGCAGCAGCAGCAGCCACAGGCGTAAGCCCATCAGCAGCAGCATCAGAAGAAAGTCCATCAGTAGCAGAAGCAGGTGTAAATAAAGCAGCAGCAGCAAAAAGTGTAGGTACAGCAGCAGCAGCAGCAACAGCAGCAGCTGCAGACACAGCAGCAGCAGCAGCAGCAGCATACCTCGTTCTCCGGCAGCAGCAGCATTTCCAGAGCCCTTTCTGCCAGCTGCCGCTGCACTGCATGCATGCGGGAGCTGCGGGCGTAGCGCTGCGTCTCCTCTTTTCCATAATACTGCAAAACAAAAATAAATTTAAAAATAAAAACAAAAATAAAAATAAAAAATAAATTCAATTTAATTAAACTAGCAGCGAATATCCAACTCATTAAACAGCGCAGACGCGCAGCAGCAGGGGGCAGCAGCAAGCAAGAGCTGAGCGCAGCAACTTGCACAGAAACCCCAGAAAAGGTTTTAGGGTTTAGGGTTTGGGGTTTGGCTCACAACGTCCGCGGGGAGAAGGTGCTCCGGCCGACTCATGGCTGCAGCCGCTAGCAAAGAGCAGCAGAAGCAGCAGCAGCAGGAACAGCAGCAGCAACTACTGCAGCAGCAGCAACTGCAGCAGCAGCAACTGCAGCAGCAGCAAATGCAGCAGCAGCTTTTCTTTTCCGCAGGAGCGGCTCTTCGGACCCGCCTTCTTCTCCTTCTCGCTGCTGCTGCTTCTTTTAAATATTATTTATTCATTTTTTGTAAATTACTCATCATTTACAATGATTTTTAATTATTTGAAATCAATTAATTAATTTATTTATTTGCTGCCTTGATTCTTCTCTTTTGCTTCTTTCGGGCTTCCTCGGCTTGCAGGTCTTGGCTCTCTCCTCTTCAAAGCAGCAGCGCAACACTGCTGGAAAAAAATTACAGGATGGTCTGCGAGGGTTTAGGGTTTAGGGTTTAGGGTTTAGGGTTTGGCGCTCCGAAGGCTGGGCACAAGACGAGGGCAGTAGTAGCCTCAGCTGCAGCGGCAGATCCTGGCAGCTTGCGCGCTGCGGCATGAAGAAGAAAAAGGCTAGATTTGCAGTTTTAATGCTGTGCTGCTGCTGCTGCTGCTGCTGCTGCTGTGGGCCCCCGGGCCTCGCAGCCCCACGACAGCATCGACAGGGGCCCCCCGGGGCCCCCGGCAGCCCTGGTTGGACAAAATGCCATTACTTGGGATGAAATTCAACAAAAGATTCAAAAATTGAAAAGTATAAATCAAAAAAATTCAAATAAGAGTCAATAAAACCCAAAGGGAAGACTCAAGGCGCCCCCCGGGTGCTCGGCAGACCCCCCAGGGGCCCCAAAGCGCTCGGCGTTCACATTTGGGTCACTTCAAGTAATTTGAGCGGCTTATAAATAATTTATTTGGTTGAAAATAGTCATCCAAATTTAGGAAAGGCGCCAGTGTTGCAGCTAAAAGCTGGAAGCAGCAGCAACAGCAGAAGCAGCAGCAGCAACAGCTGCAGCGGCAGCAGCAACAGCAGCAGCAGCAGCAGGTGTTTCGGCATGGTTACAGCTTGTCATGTGTCCCAGGGAGGCTCACAGCTGCAGCTGTTGGCCTCTTACGGCGGTTACATGCATTGAATAGGCACCCGCTGCTTTTGCTGCTGCTGCTGCTGCTGCTGCTAGGGGAGAGGAGGCCCAATGCGGAACTTTGGAGAAGTGTGCTGCCACATAAGAGCTTCTCAGCGTGCCGCGGCAGCAGCAGCACCAGCAGCACGCTGCCATTCAGCAAGTTCTGCTGCTGCTGCTTCTGCTGCTGTTGCTGCTGTCCCCTGGGGTAGCTTGCGCTCACGCCGCTTGGCCTCCCTGTCTGTTGCTGCTGCTGCATTGTCTCTTCAGAGCAGCAGACCGGCACCTGGCGAAGCAGCTGGAAGCCGCAGCGATGGAGGAGTAGCTGCAACAACAGCAGAAGCAGCAACAACAGAGGCAGCAGGAGCAACAGCAGCAGCAGCAACAGCAGCAACGGAGGCCCCAGATGGCGCACAATCTTCAGTTGTGCTTCTGCCGCTGTTCCATGAGCTGAGGCAGCAGCCGCATTTGCTGCTTGCTGTTGGGAAGCGAGCAGCAGCAGCAGCGGAGCAGCAGCAGCTGCAGCGCTGGAGAAAAACGGAAAATCTTGTCTTGGGCCAGCAGCAGCAGCCCCTGCTACTGCTGAGCTCCTACAATTCTGCTGCTGCAGTGCTGCGCCAAACTGACCAAAAGCACGCCGAAAAACAGCAGCAGCAGCAGCAGCGCGCTACCGAGCAGCAGCAGCAGCAGCAACGGCAGCAGCACCAGCAGGCTACCCTGCAGCAGCAGCAGCAACAATGCTGGCTTCAGTCCACGGCTGCGCAGAGTGAACCTGCAAACGGCAGCAGCTGCAGCAGCAGCAGCAGCAGCAAAAGCAGTTCTCTTCTACGTCAACGGCCCCAAGTGCCGAGCGAGCGTTCAGCAGCATTGGAGGTGGAAGCAGCAGCTGGAGGAGCAACAGCAGAAACAGCAGCAGGAGAAGCAGCAGCAGCGGGAGAAAGCGCAGCAACAACAGCAGCAGCAGCAGCAGCAGGGATAGCAGCTCGCCAGCTGCTGCGATCTGCTGCTGCCTCTCTGCGCTCTTCCCCAGTCAGCCAAATGACGGCGCAGCAGCTGGTCGCACTGGGATATTTTCTTGTCAGCAGCAGCAGCAGCAGCAGCAGCAGGTGCAGCAGCAGCAGTAGCAGCGGAAGCAGCAGCAGAGAAAGGCGCGATTTGCTGCTGTGCCGCCACTTGCTGCTGCGCCTTCTGGTCTTGTTGAGAGAGCACAATGGAGGCATTCGCGCTGCAGCTGCGCAGCAGCAGCAGCAGCAGCAGCAAGAGCAGCAACGTCAAGAGAAGCAGCAGCGGCAGCTGCAAGAGCTGCAGCAGCAGCAGCAGCAAATAATAAATGGGCAGCAGCTAACTCAAATTCTCAAGAGCCTCGCAAGGCTCCGCGTGTTTGGCCGTTTGCTGCAGTCTCCGTGGGCTGCTGCAGCAGATGCGGCGCATCCCGCTGCTGCTGCTGCTGCTGCTTCTCCTACTGCGTCGGCTGATGCTACTTCTGCTGCTCCTGCTGTAGTGGCAAGTGCTGCTGCTGCTGCTGCTGCTGCAGTAGCAGCAGAGGCCAAGGACCGAGGCAGCGCGCTCTTCAGCGCAGCACAGCCTGTCTTCCCTGCTGCCTTCTATCGGCTGCTGGGAGAAAATAGCAGCAGCAGCAGCAGCAGCAGTAGCAGCAGCAGCAGCAGCTGCACTCTGCAGCTGGCTCAGCTTGGCGTGTCAGAGCAGCAGCAAAACGTGGAGCAGCAGCAGCAGCAGCAGCAGCAGCGGCACCAGCAGCAACCCCCGTGGCACCTGACCCTCTTAGGACCCGACTCCCGAGCGACTTCATCGCAAACGCAGTGCAATCTGCTGCAGCTTGAGGAGCAGAAGCAGCAGCAGCAGCCGCAGCAGGACCAACAGAGGCAGCAGCAGCAGCAGCAGGGCCAGCAGAAGCAGCAGCAACAGCAGGAGCATCGGCAGCAGCAGCAGCATCTCGATCCTTCAGAGTCTGCTGCTGCGCTGTGTGCAGCACAGATCGCCTTGTCTCTTTGTCTGGAGCTCTCCATAATATTTGCCGCTGATTTGCAGCGCATGCTGCAGCAGCCGCAGCAGCAGCAGCAGCAGCAGCAGCTCGCAAGCAGCAGCAGCAGCAGCTGCTGCTGCGACGCTGCTTCAAGTGGGCCCCACAAAGACCAAAGACGCAAAGCTTTGGGGGCCTTGATGGGCCCCGATGAGATGCCTCGTGCTGCGCTGCACTGCGCAGTCCTGTTCCACCCTTTCACCAGCAGCAGCAGCAAGAGCAGCAGCAGCAGCAGCAGCAGCACCGGCTTCACAGTTTCGGATCCTTTGAAGGGAGCTTGCCAGGCAGCGCTGTTGCTGCAGTCTCTGTGGGCTCACCTGCTGCTGCGCATGCAGCCCCAATTCAACGCCAAGTAAGCAGCAGTGGCAGCAGCAGCTGCTGCTGCTGCAGCAGCAGCAGCTGAGAGGGGCAGACTGAGCTCAAGTGTGCTGGGGGCCCTCTGGGGGGCCCCCCTGACCCTGAACGGCACCCAATGGGGATCAGAGAGGCAGGGCTTAGCGGAGGCAGGAGTTGCACTGTTGCTTCTGCTGCTGCTGCTTCTGCTCTTGCTGCTACTGCTGCTGCTGCTGCTGCTGCTGCTACTGTGCTTTAGAGGTGCCGCACTTGCTGCTACGGCTCTCGGCTACGGTGCCGCGCCACCTCCAGCATGCGTGATGGTACGTTTCAGAGAGTCTTAGTAGTGGCCTTTTTGCTGCTGCTGCTGCTCCTGCTGCCATTATTTGCAGAAGCTGCTGCTGTTGCTATCGTTTGCAGTGGCTGCTGCTGCTGCTTGGCGCGGCTGCAAAGCAGCACAGCTGCAGCAAGTCGGCGACGCCTTCTGCGTACGAAGCTGCTGTCTGTGTCTGTATGCCTGCATCTCTTGGTCTTCAGTTTCACTGCTGCTGCTGTTGCTGCTGCTGCTGCCGCTGCAATTGCTGCTGCTGCTGTTGCTGCTGGTGACTTCTCTTGGTTCGGGTGCTGCCGCCACTGCATGTGTCTCCCTGGCTGTGGGGCTGCCTAGCAGCACATGACTGCTTCTCTTGCTGCTGCATTTGCTG